ATGTAAGACGAGGTAGAAAAATGCTTGAAACGCTAACTGAGTTCGGTTTCAAAATACTATATATTTTAAATATATGCCGAATCCGTGGGCGAAATAGCGTCCTCAAGAGAAGGATGCCTTTCCAAGGTCTGTGGACGAACGCCTTTTCCAAAGGTCTCTAAACGAATGCCCTCTTCCCGTTCCGCGAGGTTTCCTAGTCCCCGCGAAACTTGAGGCCCTAGGGTTGTTTTATGGCCCGGACGTCAAGCCTCTACCCCGCGATGGTCGTCGTAGGACGGCCATGTGCCCGTCGTCCCTGCTTTGTTAGGGTGGGTCACTGGGATTTTCTAACACTAGCTAATAAATCATATAATTAAAAATTGAATAGGTATTTTCTTATTCAAAAATACTAAAAAAAAGAAAAAGGGACAAGGAACTGTATATTCACAGTTGATTCTCAATAATCGGATATCAGAAATGTATACCAAGTATTCACTTACGAACTACCCTTATACGTAAAAGCGTTTTTAAATAAATCCATTTAAATAATAAAGCCGTTCGGATTCGATGCTATAACTTTATCTAGAATCACGTTTCATTTCAACCAAAATTGCCGTTCTCTATTTGCTAGCGCTAGATTAGAATGCGGTTTAGAATTGTGGTTCACTTGCCTTTCGGCTCGAATAGTTGCATAGCAACTCAAAGCGTCGAATTCGGACGTTTTATCTCGGCTTTTAGCTTGCCGAACTTTGACGATGGGAAAACGAATCGCATTCAATGGAACTCTTTGCTTGTGAAAATACAATCCGAGATAAAATGATAGGACACGGTATGTATATATATGACTTGCGCAAACAATAAAATTCGGGACCTTTTGGTGTAATTCTAACCTATAGAAGGAAAATAAAAAACTCATATCGTTGAATACGATCTTCCTGTATTCGAAAACATTTATCACGGTGCCTTAATAACTCTCCAATTTTTAAACTTTTTTTCAAACGAGAAAAAATACGAAAACAAATAAGAAAACAATCAAGAAAAAATATACAAACAAATAAGAAAACAATTAAGAAAAAATACAAAAACAAATAAGAAAAAAACAAATATTTTCTGTAAAAAAATTTATTTATATGAAAATAACATAAATTTAAGATAAAAAAATAATATTGAGTTTTAATTAAAATTGTATTGAGAGAAGGAAATTTTAATTAAAATTTTTTGAGGGAAGGGGAGTTATTTAAAATTTAAGAACATAGAAATTTTATTGAATTCAAATGTTTATTTATTTTATAAAGAAAAAATACTTTTATCGATTAACTTTTATTTATTTCGGTATCTTTTGTAACATTTTAAATAAAAAATTGAAATTATGTAAGGTAAATATTTTCAATATTTTTGTTATCTTTGTTCATTAATGTTTGAGTACTGTATGTGGAACAAAAAGTATTTCGATTTTTATAGGATGGTAAAACAAGAAGAGTGTTGTTCAAAAATGTTGAATCAGAAATCCAAACGCGAATATTTCAGTTGGAAACATGATTTCACATGTAAATTGTTTCAGACGATAGATGCCTCGTTTAAAAAACGTTTTCAGAAACTCGCTCGGAACAACCTCTGTCATTTGGCTGAAAATTCTCGCTGTTACCCGTAACACTTTACGTTTTAAGCGTGTTTTAAATCTCTATTCATCGCTTCTTCGTCTATTAATATTTTAATTGTACCATTAACAGCAACGAGCCAAACAAAACTGTCGCTAACTGAAAATCGTGGGGGAACAGCAATGGATTACGGAAAACACTTCAGGAATTGCGAAAGTTGGTTCGATAATGAGATCTTTTCGACATAATTAATTCACTTTGTTCATTCGCGTTTCATCACGATATAATTTAAAGCGAACTACTTAAAAATTTCAAGCGTGCAATTTCACAGAAAACGGATTTAATTGTTCTCTTTCTAATTCTATCAACTCACGTGTTGTTGCGCAAGTTGATCATAATGTGTACTCTCTGAATCTGCATCGTTGAAAATTTCACTCATTTGCTCATTTCAATCGCTGTTTTTACCGCCCGGTTGGTCTGGAAACACCTCATCGTGTTCATACTTCGGTTTTTTATTTAATTTTTGTGAGAATTAATATTTGAGGTTTTTAATAACTCTAAATCTGAGCTTGAAAATCATTTAAAATAATGATTTGAATATGATGTCTTTATAAATTATTAATATGTTCATGCAGTTTTGTTAAATTTTTTATAGTTAATATACAAATTACAATTACAGATTTTATGTAAAAAATAATTATAATAACACATGTACACTACCGTCCATAAGTATCCGGACACTTGGTTTCGTTACATAAAACATAGTTGAACTTTGTACGAAAGGTATTTAGGGTTATCATATCATTTGTAATAATTATTATTATATTTTTTGAGGTGTCATAACGTAATAGAATTAATTTTTAAGTACAAATTATACAATGAAAGTGTGAAAGTAAAATTCATGTCCAGAAGTACAAAGTCCAAATTTGTGAATCTAATGAAACGCTTTCGATTCTAAAAAAAATTTTAATTT